AACAGACATAACAAACCCAAATGAAAGTAGTCTTTTAAACACAAACTGTCAGCAGTTACTTCATGGTGAATCTTCACACCTGAGGTTCACTTAGGCTCTGTCTTTGCTAACACTTTGAGGGTAACAAGGTGTTTTTTTTTTTTTAAGGGGATTAATGGACTTTTAGATCTTAAGGTAAGTTCAGCTGCAATGTTATGGGTCCCTTAGGTGAGGGATTTTTGGAGAATACGAGTAGCTCCATACCCCAAGGCAAGGCTAATGGATGCCTCTAAAATGCCCCATATAGTTTAGCAAGACAAGTGGCAAAAAGCACCGACGTTTTACCACTCACTATGACTCCACTCGAAGATAATATTTTAGAGTGTGACCTGTCCACTGTAGGAAAAGAGAGGCAAATTCCTAAGGGGCTTTTATCTTGTTGCCCAGCTATAAACAAAGTACCCTCCTCAAGTGTGAGGCAACTTTTGGCTTAAACTTTTGCAATCCAACTATTCGAGGCCAGTCCTGGAATCATAGCCAAGAAACAACAGGCAAAGTGGAAATATTATACTGTAAGTGTCAAACAACTGAAAATGGCTCAATGAAATTTGTAGTGGTGGTACCCCATATAACTTAGAGCACTGTTGATTTTCATATCCCCAAATGGGGTTATGCGACTATATGGTTTTCCTACATTGCTTCCACCAGCTAGTCATAGCTGGTTTTATCATAATTTAAATTCTTGTGCTGGTGCCGTGACTCTGAAGTGATCCCTCTCTAGCAATACTTAAGTCCTGACTCAACCACTGCTTGTTAGTTGCCCATCATTTTAGTGTTGTCATTAAAATGTATTCTGCGGCATGTGGCTTTTGTCAGCCAATGCGGTGGCCTGCATATCTATCTATGTGCAGATGTGCAGATCAGAAACAATAGCATAACCTAAACCTTCCAGAAAATAATTATCTTTTTCACCTCACTTAAAATTTTCTTTTGATTCTCATACCTGCTAAGAGCAACATGACAGAAGTATATACAAATTCCAAGATAAAGAGAAACAATAAATAAAGGCAGACAAAATTACAACCATGGGGAGAGAAATAAGTGACTGAGACAGAAAACTCTTTTTGGATTTTGGAAACTAAGTCAAGAACAAGACTCAGAGGTTGAAATGGAGACAGAGATGGATATAAGACAGAAAACCAACACACTGCACCAACATAGCGTGGTGGACTCTGCTGTAGCATCCCCCATCCCACCAACTCACCCCTTACTGTGAAATGACAGCGTGACCACGGTACAATGAAATGCTGCCCGAATGCTGACAGAACATGACAAGCACATGGTTGCCTGAATACAAAAGTGTGCCTGTATGTGTGGCAGAGATAGAAAAAGAAAATGGGTGGAAGCTTGTGGGCACACACTTAAAGAATAATGAACGACAGATTGTAGAAGGACAAAATGTTGTTTCTTCAGCAAACTCATGCTGGATTGATCTTCTAACCTCTTCCATGCAGCCATGGACAATAGAAAACCCTTTCTAATGCAAACCCCCAAATCAGAAAAAGTTGGGATGGTATTTAAACTCTAAATCGAAACTGATAATAGTGATGTGTAAATCATCTGTGTTCTGTATGACACTGAAAACAATACAGCAACACATTATTTGATGAGATACCTATACATTTTATTTTTTGTTCAAAATAAACACTAATTTCAATTCTGATGCTGTAACACATCCCAAAAAAGTTGGGACAGTCAAGTGTTTACCACAGTGTGATGTTGCTGTTCCTTTTCACAACACTTAAACAACGTTTAGTGACTGAGGGCACCAAGTGATTAAGTGTGTCGGGTGTAGGAATACACTAGACTGACTTCATAACGATGGCACTCGCATTTATGTCTTCATTTAGCTGTTACAACAGACAGGGGTATACCATGCATTACAGACTCTAGGAAAGAGTTAGAAGGTTTCCTTTACATGGTACAGGATATCACCTTAAACTCAATATGTCTAATAATGCAGTGACATACTAACACCAATGACATGTAAACTGGCACTGTTGATGGCTTTATACCATTTCCCACCTTGTTAGAAAACAACACTATAGTCTGTTGAAAATTCACACCTTGACTGGAGTCACAAATTCACACTACCTTCATTATCCAATGGAAATGTCCCAGACTAATCAATTACTGTACATGTCTAATGTGTATAACTGCAAGCAAATGTTATTTCATCAATAACTTTTTCAGATGTCAAATTATCAATTTACAATTTAATAATTAAACCAATTACTTTTTTTTTTTGCACACTCATTTTCAGTTGTGCTTGTTGCGTTCCAGGCGGATGAAAGACAAATTTAACACAGCAGAGGTAAAAGTAGGTGGCTCCTTCATTATGATTTTTACAGGTTTAAATTTATCTAGCAAAGACACTGTAATGATGCACGGTATGACAGAAGGGCAAGGGTATAAAAGCAAATCATTTGTGTGTTAATGAAAACAAAAAGGTGAGGAATGAGCATGTGAGAATAGCAGCTGAAAAAAAAAGATCTGAATTAATTAGCCATTTTTCATCAGTTTTGCGATAATCATTGCCATACACATGGGAAAAGGGAAAATGAATGGCTTTCTGACAAAAACTGGATTCATGAAACTCTTTGGCGCTCTCGCTTTCCAAAAAGAGGTGAGAATGGGTGTTATAGATGGGCGTAAATTGGCAAAGCCTGCTCTCTCTGGCATCATTACCACTGTAGTGGTGGTTCAGTGATGAATGAAACTGATGTGCTTTCTGACAACAACAGGTGAGGTCTGAACTTGGAGGAGCACCTCTGCTTCTATGGAAATCCTTCAGTTTTTCCTTCCACCAAAATGGTGCCATTTAGAATGCCAAGTCAGCTGGTAACTTAATTTACACTGACATGACAAAAAAGACCAACTGACACATAGAACGGGATGAACTAAATTCATGATTTTAACTGGTGTTGACATTGAGTCCGTAAAGCTGAATAGGCAGCAGCCTACTGACAGCTAACTAGCTAACCTACCTTTACCATGGGCTCGCTGTGTCAGCACAGAGCAGATGCACATCTTACAGCCGACACTCAAACTGCCCGTCTGCATCCGGTACTTATGTCTGAAATCTGGTACAGTGAACGTTGCTGTAACGTTATAACGGCAGCAAGTGTAAAGTCCGGTTAGCCAACTAGCTCACTGACTGAAGGGCTCCCCCATTTCTACCGCAGATCCCAACTGAGGTCATAATAATCACTAATCATCAATAAAATAAACATTATCTAAATATATCTAGCCCTTATATATTAAATCTAATCTAAAGCATCATTTCAAATCTGTCAAAGCACATTCATCAGGCTTCAAGATTCAAAAATAAAGTCCAACCTTGAACGCATGTGCAGTTTGTGGAATCGATGCATCTTTTGCCTATAGCATTGTGCCAGTGACTCCGTGGCATTGTAAATTTGTATTCGTATTGAGGAAAGCACAAATGTAAGTTTTCACTTCACATTTGTTGTAATTTTTTAAAGCGCATTTTCAGACAAAACACCAACTACATATTTTATATACAATTTGACTTGCACAAAAACATTTGTGTACAACCGATTAATTTATATATTATATTATTGCCAGCTGTCTTAGCCCATATGCATCCCTTTTTGTGTAAATCTATACATAAAATCTAGTACCCATTCACTGCAGAGTGCATATTCCAAACCAGCTAATCAGCTTTACACAATTGAAGTTGTCTTGAATAGCTGTAAAGAATAAACAGTGAAATAAAAACCTATAATAACACTTGTCTAATTTGCAAATAAAACAAGAAAAAAAAGGAAGAACAGCAGGCTTAAAACACTCAAAGAACTAAAGACAAAAAAGCAGAGGGTGAGATCTGCTCACTTTATCTGTTGGGCCATTTTAGTATAATTCTCACACAATTAATGCAAAAAGTAAGTTATGTGGCACTTAGACTATTAATATACATAGAGGACAAATTCCTAAATAAAAAATATTAAATTTTTCTCAAGAATTTTAAAGACAAAGACTGATTTCAGGAGGATTAAACTCATTCACATAGAGAGGAGGATGATGAACATGTTGGTATGAGAAATTTGGCACAGTATTACTAATATGGGAGACGAGAAGTGATAATAGTAAATTATCACCTAGCCAAACAATGTTTTGACAGTCAGGCAGATGCAGGAGGTGTGGAGTTCACATCAACAGCATTACTAGCACTACAAACAGCCTTCACACTCTGGTCTGTGCCCACATCTGTTTCCTGACAACTGTTGTCTGGACATCCTGCTAAGCCCTTTTCAGACATGCACTGTAAGCCTGAAATTATCTAGACATTACCCAGAATAGCTGTATGTGAGAACACAAATGTCAGAGTCAGCTGGCCTGGATCTTACCGGACTTTACCCTGCCAGCTCTCTAGTACACAGTCCGCATAATGTCTGAGTGAGCTGGAGTGTGAGAAAACAGCAGTGTATATTTTAGAGTATTCACATGGAGCCTGTGTGCCTGTGGATGACATTCTATTACGTGACCGGCACAAAATTGAAAGAATACAAAAATCCAATGGTGAAGAAAAACGGTCATATACAATGAAGACGGCAACAAAAATATCTAACTGCAATCATGACATGATTCAGGAACTTCTGTGTATAACAGCCGGCGCCAGAATCATCAGGCAAATTTAAGGTTCAAGTGTGAAAATGGCTCCAGTCAACACTGGTTTGTCTCTGTGATCCACTGTGCTGAGACTTTGCTTCTGATATGCCTTGCATTTACTGTAGATATGCAGAGCTACCCCAGAGAAAAAAAACTGTATCCATGCCTCAGCTAACAGATTTACAGGTGTATTCAGCAAACTGCCTCTGCCTGTAATACACTCATGAAAGCATAATAATACTGAGACAGTACCAAAGCAACAATGCAAAGAGTATACTGAAAGTGTGTTGTAAAGCTCATTTACACCGGATAAACAAAATGTGACACACCGGATGTGAGCCTCAGCTCTGGTAGCTGCCTGGTGGTACTGTTCAGCCGCCTCCTTGTAGTTGTCAAAGTTCTGCAGGTAAACACACAAAGAGAGAAAGAATGGTGAGAATAAATCCAGGGGTGCTTTACACCTCTGCTGAAGATCCACTTTATATTTTGAATATAAAGAGGGCTGGTCAAGTGTACGCTCCGTTTAATCAACTTGCTTCCAAGCTCTAATACAGTTAAATTTTCAAATTACATCATTACAAAATGGAAAGAAAAAAAAAAAACAAACAAAAAAAACAAAAAAAAAACAAGAGCCCTGAATCAGGGTGAATTACAGCTCAACAACTTGCCTACCTACCTAACATTAATACAGTAAAAATTACTTTTTGGCTTAAATTCAAGTTCTAATAAGCCAGTGAAATCCAAATCGCATAAAGCACCATCATAAGTGTCATATTCCTTAAATGAGCAACTTTACTGCACCACTTACAAATCTGAATGCTGATGGACTGTTTGTGCTGAATAATGTTTTATTTCATACGAGACACAGTGACATTTAAACAGCAATTACTACACAGATGGAGCTCAAGCTTAGAGGGCAAGGTGAAGTACGGCACACCTTTCCTGGAGTAATCAGTGGTCACAGTGTTAACTACACTGCATCCTGGTCAGAGCTGCTCATGGGATGATGCACTGATTAGGTAGAAGTCAAGAGTACAAGTTGTTTTAGAAAATGTATAAGGTGCACAGCTGTGTTTTGAGCTTCTGACAACATGTTTAAAATCTTCAGTTCTGGAAGATTTCCTTTGTGTCAAAACATATGAAATGGTTTCTTTTGAATGCCCCAAATACAAAGTAGATCTCTCTTACCACCCTATCATTTACAGTGGCTGCACAGTAATGACTGCAGCATCTATGCTTTTTACTTCATTATTCCCTATATTCCCAATAAAGGTGGTGATTGGAGAGGAAGATAACTGAAGTGCCTGAGGGGAGAAAGAGATGTGATCAAACACAAACCTCCTGCACAATCCCTAGACCTCTACCTCCAGTGCCTCTTAGTCATTTTCATATCCCATTATTTCACACTGATCCACAGACATGCTTCTCCTGATCTGAATGCCTGGTGTTGGAGAGGACTCAAGTACTGTCACAGGCCAGGTTTCTCTTAAGCCCATCTGCCATTATTCACTGCTATGTAATAATCTGCCTTTCTATCAGTTTCTTTCCTGTTCTTTAAAGAACAGTAAGTAAAACAGATAAAGGTCTTGTTGGAAGAAGAAAGGGGTATTTTGCCCAAATGCAAATCAGTAGTACTGTATAACTATATAAATTGTAAACATGGGCAGCAATTCAGAGATCTGAAAACAGACTATAGACATTGTACATTAGAAAAAAATTAATACATGTTTAGAGTTCACCTTTCTCCTCTGAGTTTGTGTTGCTTTTTGGCTGCCACAGTAATACACAGTGTGAAAATGCCAAACATTCCTGCCAATTATGTTTTCTCGCTGTGTTATACTGGATTATCCTGGGCAGGACTGGGACTGCTAAATCTTTCTATTGCCAATGTGTGGCTTAGCCTTAAATACCACACTTTGACGGCAGGGTAACTATAGCTCCAAAGACTACAAGACAAGTATATTTCATTCATCATGCACTTTTGGAATAAAAAACAGTTCCAGGCCACAGAGCATCTGGTCTGATGATTCATTAACCTACTAAGCATAAAACATTACCAATAAATGCCATGATTTCAAAGTTCAGGAAACCAAGCCCTGGATTCATGGACATTAAATAGACAGTAGGTCTCAGTTCTTGTTACAGAAGAGCTAGCTGATTCTTTGCTTGGCTCCCTGGGAATGTGTGGTATGAAGTTATCTGTATGTTAGAGACTTAGGCTTTAGCCTCAGGTCAGGGACTCAGTGGGTACACTCAGAGGAAAGCTGAACTGAAACTTGAAAGTCAGCAGTTGCCTTTTGGGACATCCAATGCCTAGGTTTAAAAAAAAAAAAAAAAAAAAAAAGCTCCACAGGGGCTTAAACCTATGGGTGCCTAAGATAATGCAGGACAGAGAGAGTAGCGAAGCAGCAAGGGGATGGTTTAAAGGTACAGTGAACTTCTCACTGACTGATTGAGAAAGTCTCTTGGTAGGATACCAAAGTTTTGCAGGGGTCAGGCAGTGGGTAATACAGTGCCTCACACTTGCAAAGATATACAGATGAACACATTTAGCAATGATGGCATGAACGTATCTTATAGTATACATCCTTGTTTACATAAAAGCCAAGACAGAATTACTTAATTAAATGCGCAAAATACAAAAAGGATCGTGTTGACTGAAAATGTAAAAAAAAAAAAAAAAAGCCATCTATTAGCACAACATCCATTCATCATTTACAAAGCCCTGTCTGAGGGGAAAAAAGCTACCTGTCTGCCTCTAAAGTTTAACATTTCACCCTAGGTAACAGATGATGCAATATGTACTGGAGGGCACAAAGCACCCATCCATACACACCAGGAAAAAGTTTTATATTCCTGTAATTTAAGCACACATTAGTAACAAATGTTTAATTGGTGAAATTGCCATTAATGTTTGAAATACAGTAAGTGCCATAGTTTATTAAGAATGACATATTTATAAATATTCTGCCATGAGTCCAACAGGTAAAAAAAAAATTCCAACTGAAGTTCTGGAGCAATTCTCAGGAACTGGTTTACATTTCCACTTCTGACCAAAGCATCTCATTCGTCTCTCACAACAACAAATAAATGCACACAAACTGTCAAACAGTCTCTGCTTTTATCCAGGGAGATTTAAAAAATGGGTAGTTTAATGGTGATGGGAGGGATGTTGTACCAGACCTTAGTGACAAGCATGTCTCTGGTCTCACTAATAAAACAAGGCAATATGGAGAAAATGTGTGAGGGTAGTCTTTAGACTGGAGGGTTCAGCTTATCCAGTCAAACTTCTGGAGCACTGCACAAGGCTGCTTTGTTTTTGAACGTATCAACAAGTTGTTGTTTTTTTTATTTATTTATTTTTTGTCTGATGACAGAACAGACCCTGAGCAACAGCCCCTGTCATGACACCAGAGAGGTAGCAGCACTATCACTGGCACACACACACACGCTTCCCAGTCATTTGCACCTGTGGGGACAAAAGCCAATGTGGAGAGAAAGAAAAGGGCGATGATAACCCTCAGCGGGGAAAAAGCTAGGTTTTGGGGGTGTTGGGAAAGCTCATGGAGGGGATTAGCGTGTGTGCACATGTGCTCTGTGTGTGTGTGTGTGTGTGTGTGTGTAAACTTGCATACATGCAGGTGTGTGACTAAGTGTGCCTGTATGTGAATGCTGGTGCTCAGATGATCCTTGCATGCAGACTCGTCTGAACATCCTCCAGCAGCTGTGGATTGAGATGGGCTGATGTCAGAATCTTGAGGGAGGGGTTGCTTCATGCGCCACACTTGGGAGAAGGAGGATTAATTTTTTTTTCTTCCAGAGGCAGCAGTCAACAAAGGGGGGAAGAGGGGATTAAAAGAGGTGAATTTTAAACTGAGACTTGTTTACAGAGTCACAGAGTATGTTGCCACAGGAAGACAGATATACTCCACCTGTACACTGCAAAGAGATTAGGGATGCATCCGCAAATAAATGAGAGAGACGAGAGGATTTGGAGAGAGGAGGCACAGAGTGATGTACTGGTATGTTTGGGGGGGGGGTAGTTCAGTCTTGGGATGTCTTTTAGCACATGTGTGAGAAAGAGGGGAAATGCAGTCGATTGGCCACTCTATCACAATTACTTCTAATTGTGACAGCATGCACACAAAATTGTCACAATAACCACACGCACACACACACACACACACACACACACACACACACACACACAGAGGTTGTTTACTCATTTGTGTCAGTGGTAAACTTAAACAGCATCCACAGCCTTTACATAAACACAACAGTCCGTTATTGTCATCCTCCCCCCAGGCACGCTGACAACCAGAGTGTGTCTGTGTGTTTTCATACAGGTAATCAAGCAGCCAAACACAGTTATTAGTCAGTTATCAGAAGAGGCTGCTGCTAAGCCAGAGTAAAATGTTGATTCAGGGGAAGATCACACACCAATTACCAGTGGATTCTCCTTCTAATCTGGCTGCTTACCTTTGTCTTAGGTCTCTGCCTCGGATCATCACAATACCTAAACAACACAATTACATGTGCCTGAGTGTCTGCCTGTGCACGTGTGTTTTCTATATAAAAATCAATATCGTTGTGTGGCCTCTGAGATTACCTACAAAATAAAAGCACAAACTGGAGTACACACTAAGACAATGGCACGCGTCACCTTGAAATCTCTAATTTGCAAGAGGATCTGATACAATGCTGGTGGTGTGGGGCTCCCTGACAGAGCAACATAAAGCCTTCTTCACCACTTACATGATAAAGTGCAACACTTTACTGTTTCAATTTGCATTTTGAATTGCATATGACCTGTGTTTGTTGTAATTCAGCTTCTAAGTGGCTATTTATTTCAGCCCATCTGGAATTTGCCGCAGATATGCCAGAGTGAAAGGAACACATATAGGTAGGGAAAAGGAGAGGGGGCATGAAAAGAGACCTGGATGAATGGAGTGCTAGATTGGAAAATGAAGGAAAAGAAGGAAGGTAGATGGACGCTAGCTCAGGATAGACTGTTTAATGCACAGTCCATATAGACTCTTTATCTCTCGCTCTCACTCCCCTTCTTTCTCACTCCCTCATCCACATGCAGGTCAGCTGCAAGCAAGTGCAGGGTGGAAAAAAAAGATAGAAAAAGGGGCTGTGGTGGTGAGTGGAGAAAGATAGAGCATCCTCCACTCTTCTGCTAATCAGTCTCTTCCGTCAAGCATTGCAGTGTGTGCTACTTGACGCACGGGTGCAAGGGGGCCCTTCCATTTAACTTGGCTATGTAAAAGGTTTTCACAGAAGCCTAAAGGAGGTGAGTGCCAGGGACTAGATAAGGTCCCTGTCTGCCTGATGGGCCCTGGTGGAGGGAGGAAGAGACGGGTGGAGGGGGAGTCAAGTCCATAGAGCGCCTACTGAATACTGGAGGGAGAGCTGTGGGTGTGAGGATAGAGATGGGGGGGAAGGGTGCATGTGTGTCTACCTGTACCTTTTCACAGTCATTATTTTCTACTCTCATACCTCTTGTCCTTTTTGCTAGTCTCTGTCAATCCCTAAAAGCATAAAGCAGATTTTTCCTGCCTTAAAATCAAACACCACTGTGTCTCACAAAAACATTTAATGAATTTACCCATTTACTCTGTAAAAAGCAAGCAACATTTATCAACCACTGTGTTTGTGGCTTTTACAGGGTGCAAAATATCAACACTGCATTAGTACTCAGGTGGAGGGAACACAGGTCGTAATTTCTTAAAAGCAGCCAGCAAACTTTTACTGTTTTTCTGTTTTGTTAAAGACCACTGGGTTGCTAGCAGAAGGACACAGTGATGAGAAAAGCACGGTGCATTTGATTAGGCAACTGAAGCTCTCAGAGACAGCACTGTGAAACCTCTCTTGAGTGCTGGTCCATCAACAGCAAGTCGTGACTCTCGTCTGTCTGCTGAAAATTTCAATTCAGTTACATTTACATTTTGACACTGCTATGTGGGCTTGACATTTCCAAGATATGGAAGAGTGTCTTTTGTCTCAACAAGATTTTACTCTCCAAGGGAAGTGAATAATATGTCACCTTAAGACTTCTGTTTTTCCTGATGTGTGAAGAGTTCTTGTCAGTGAAAGCCTACAGGGTGTTTTTTATCTCATTAGTGAGGTCTCCTGTTATACACATCACAGTGCTAGTATCTAACTCTCTTAAACTGCCACAAAAAAATCTAAAAGAAAAAATAAAGATGGGAAGGAAATGCACAGTTGATCAAACATCTTGGAATATGATTAACAAAATGCAAGTAATGGACACAAGCATGGTTATATATGGAGCTTTTCAGATGAGTCAAGGTCATATCATTTTGATGGTATGCATGCTTATATGATGAAAACATTGCCCTTACCTTTTTTTCCAGTATTTCTAGTTGCTCTTTATAGAAGCTGGAGATGACGGCCAGCTCCTTCTCTTTCCTCTCCAGCTGTTTGGCCTGAAAAAACAAAAAACAAAAAAGAAAACGGAGAAGATAACAACAAGCAAGTCGAATAAAAAATTTTCTAAAATGAAGGCAAAATATGAATAACTAGTTGTATAAAACACAATTTTGACTGCCTGGGAAATAGAGAAGAAAATCAACTCAGGTACTAACAAAAATTTGTAATTTGAGAAATAAGAGTGTAAAATGACTAAGAGGTAATTGGCTAAAAAAGTACTCATTTACTTCTTTTGCTTATATGAGCATTCTTGCACACATGGGACATCAGTCAAAGGAGCTGTATATAAGCAGAGAGAACAACAAAAAGTCATCCTGTTGCTTTTACTGCCAAACAAAACTGAAAAATCACCAATCACAAAAAAAAAAAAAAAACTAAACTATGATCTAACATATGAAACATAACCCAACTTCATATTACAATGCAAAAATAAGCATATCAAATCAAGTATTTTATTATTTATTGCCACAGCAGTTACTGGAACTGCGAACCCCTACTAGGCGATCATGCTGTAGGCATGCACAAGTAACATTAAGGCAGATTTCATTTATACAGCCCAATATGACATATGACAAATTTACCACAAGAGGTTTTACAATCTGTACAGCATACAACACCCTCTGTCCTTAGACTTTCAAATCGGATAAGGAAAAACTCCCCCCTGAGCTACTGTACCAGCTGACACTTCTACTTATGTAAATTACAGGAACTTGCCAGTGTTTTAGGAAAGCTAAGCTATAGGGGACATCAGATACACCTTTTATGCAGCAGGGAGTGGGCAAAAGATACAAACATACCTTTGATAATAGATTAACAGAATAAACAATCCATGGTAAATATGATCAAACGCTCCTCAAGAGTATGGTTATAGCACCAAACTGCAAGTTTATGTTTTTCAAAGCATAATTTTTCCAGGAAATTATGTGTTACCTCATGTCTCCACTGTTCTGTTACTACTATATAGAATTCTACAGCATGAAAAGGACGTGACATCACAATGCAAAAACACCCATTCGAAGTTGGGCCTTTCCAATGTAAAAGAACTTGCAAAACAACTCATGTGGCATGCAAGTACCACAGCGGCAGCAGGGGTTGACATAATGATGCTGCATTGAGGGTGAAGTGAAACGCTTTAATATGCCCACTGACAGGCTGCAAGATGGCAGACTGGCTGTAGGACGACCCATAGTCTGAGCTGTGGCGTAGCAGCATGCAAGTAGAGGGAGATAGGAGGCAGATGTCAAAAAGATTTAGTGTGAAAGGAGGCTGCCAGTTCAGCTTGAAGTCAGAAATGCACATGCACTAGGGATTTTTAATAAAAACTCACTACAAGATATTGTAGTGTTTTGCCACCTTTCTTTTAACAGCGTGAGGCTTCCCAGTGTGTTAATATCACATGATTTCATAAAATATAAGGAAACAGAATTTCCTTTTTGAAAAATATCAACTCAAAATATTATAAAACAAAGACAAAAAAAAAGTAATGAAGAGCCATAGCAGAGCTACAAACTGAAAATAAAACTCAAAAGGCACGGGCATGATTGAATATTAGCAATAGCAAGCAATGTCAAAGATTGGTGTAGCTGACTGAAACACACACACACACACACAGATCCTTCACCATGCCATCAGTTCAGTGCTTTCACTCACTATGCATTACTAATCCACCTTGTTTTCAGCTATCCAATCACAGTATTACAATTTTTTTCTTGGACCATGAAACTAATGATTTTCAAAGGGATAATCACAGAGTGATGTATTTAGCAATAAAGATGCTGAATGGTACAGTGTCTAATTGGAAAACAACATTAAATCTAATTTCAACACACACCATGTACTATATTAAAACTGACCAATTAGAACTAACCTAACTGAACTGAATGTCATTGAATTGAAGTGCATTTATACACTAAAAACCTTGCAGCTTGGTCTAGGATGTTAGTGTTTTCATGCATCTCTCAGAGGTTTGGTCATGCTGTTGAGCATATGCAGCAGATCAAACCGCTCTACGTTCTGAATCACATTTGATGGCTAAAATGCACAAAAGAATTGGTAACATATGCATATGGTGCTCACAGGATGTTGGAATTCTCCCTGGAATGCAAACATTTGATCTGTGCAGTCTGAATCTGTATTAAAATGATAATAAATCGGTGCTCATGAACAAACTCTGTCTAAACCAATAAGGGTAATGAGTGTTAGGTATTTTTGGTCAGATAGATATTGGATAGATACTTTATGTATTAGAAATGTTTAGTGGAGATAGGATGTCTAGTTAGACTGTTAAATGCTTAGGCATGCTTATGAGTTTCTACAGGGTACATCTGGTCAAGGATAACTAGAGAGAAGAGTTGATGACTGTCAGCAGACAGGGTGTTTAATATTATTATTATGATGTGTATAACTGTAGCCTTAGCCATAATATGCTCTTATGTTTAATATCACAACATGTTACTAGAGGTCATGTGAGAATGTTTTTAGCTACACACCACTTAATCAACAGACACACACACATTGATTTGCTTCATGTTTTGACTACTGCTATAGCCAGCTGCAAAGCTGGTAACAGAGACGTCTCGGTTGACGTTTCTGTGTAGTATGGGGCTAGCCCAACCGAAGGGATATAATGTATAGGCCTGTTGGGTTCAGGGTCTTTCATCTTACATCTGCCTGCGAGCAGTTTGGAGGTGCAAGATACCTGAGCGTGTAATGTTAATTTAACCCGTGATCCTTTGAATAAATCAGCACTGTTTTGAAGTTACTTGGACTGTTAGCAATGGTAACAAGAACCAAAGACCTACATAAGTGAAGCAGTGCTACAGCACTAGGAGCATGATATGGTGCATGAACACTGGGAAACTGGTTTGGAAGTGAGGCAGAAAAAGGCAGCAATGGGGTATACATTTATGTAGCACTGAAACAAAGTGTATATTACAAACACACAACCAGACACACACACTGTGTCATGGTTTAATAGTGACCGATAGCTGTACCCCAGCTAGATACAGATCAGATGGAACAACAGCATCTTCTCTGACTGATCTATGGATCTTCTGTGCTCTCAGCTGATATGGTGGATACAGGCATGCAGACACACACACACACACACACACACACACACACACTTATACACAGATTGATGTTACATGTATTCTAATCCAATCTAATCTTATCCTAACAGGCAGATACATCCCCAAAGAACACTTCTGCAAATCCTGTGGTCACTGAACTTTTTCTTTCTACAACCACTGTTAGATGCTTAAGGGCTGCGCGCGTGTGTGTTTTTGTGTAAAATCACATCTACCAGGAGCACAGATGATGTGTAATTTTCTAGCTGAATACCTCCCAAAGTGTTATTGTGTGGAATGGTGGCGGCAGCGCACTCACAACCTCGCTTTAATGCACAATGAAAACATGACATTTGAATAGAGAAGAGGGAATGAGAAAGAGAAAGGATGAAGTAGTGAGAAAAGAAAAAAAAAGTTTAAACCGGGAGGCACCAGCAGTGGTTGTGTTGCTTACCCAGGCATCTAAATCTGCAGGCTAGGTGAGAGAGAAGTAATAGTGGTTAGTGAAACAACAGAAGTAATAAGGGAGCACATGATTGGAAGAGATGGTGACACAAAGAGGAGGAGGACAGGGCACGCAGCACAAAGGAAGAGATAACAGTAAACAGCAGGGCACAAGGTTAGTACAGCCACTCACAGAGTAATCAGCGCCATTGTGTACAGGTTGCACATGTTAAGCTGAGGACTACTCACTAGTTACAAAATCTAACTTGCCAGATGTTTGGCACTGTATCCGATGGAACATAATTTTAGCCTTTAGTAGCCCTGTAATACATTGAATGTGTGCCAAGATGCGTTTGGTGACAGAGTAGCTTACTTATTAGTTTGACAAGGTAACAAAACAACACATGAAATTCTACTCTTGGCCATCCTGGCACAGGCTCCTCATTGCACGTCAGCCTTCAATCCACATACCCAGCCCTGTCCACTCATTTGTCTCATTTCTCTTGACTGCCTGGAACTTAAAGAAGTGCCCTGACTCTTATTCAGAAAGCAACATTTGTAAAACATGTGGTCCATTTGGTACAACTGCTTGTGTGCCACAGGTTTTCTAATCACTGTTAAAAAAATCTTCAGTATGCAATAGAAACCAAACTTTTTTAAATCACTAAATGAATGTATTTATTTCAATGTACAGTCTTACTACTAAGTGTTCACTTTCAGCTTGCACATTATTATTTAAAAGGCATATTTTACAGGTGTGCGCTAATTGCCTACTTTACTACTGCTCTTAGCAGGGCCTATACAGTGAGAACTAAGGGCTATTCAATTACAATCTGTTTCTTTTAAATAATTTATAGACCAGTATATGTATGTGTCCTGAATGCAACTGTAGCACATTAACAGCATATTCTAGACTATTGTATGCCACGGTACATCTATTAACAAATCAAATAACCTTCTGTTAAAGCATTGCAACACACAGGACACCATATTTGGGTGTGTCTAGCCAAACTGAGGGCTCCCAGTCCAGCATTAGACAGAGAAAAGAAAGGGATAGATTAAAGCAGTGGGTGGCTCTAATGTTGCCATGGCTCATAAAGAACACCACTGACTTAGATGACGTGAACTCACAAAGCCGGTAAATGCAGAATGCACATGTGTGTGCGTGTGTGTGCGCAGGGTAATCTCTGTAACGGATACAGCTGATGCCATCTGTTTAACCTCCCTGCTCCTCAGTGGCTAGCCCTAAACTGAATATGCGTCTGAGGCCGACCGTAG